ACACACACACACACACATATGATATGAGCAATAGGTCCACTTTAAGTGATTGTCATTATATACAGAAAGTTATCAAACACAGCAAACATTAGCTGATCACTACAGAGTCAAACGGATACAATCTATTTAATTTAATATATTCATACATGCGTAACAGTTACACTGTGGTTTATTTGTATAAAAGTAAAAGTTGGAAAGGCTTCATCAATTAATCAAAAGAAACTTTCAGGGGAAAAAATCAGAATGGAGTTTCTGGATTTGCAAATGAAACAGAAAAGAGATAAAATGATATAAAAGTCACACAACAGCTATTGTTTTGTGACCATGTAACCATGTTTTATCCACTACTGGTCAAAAAAAATCATGAAGCAACAAAAGCTTAAAAATCTACAGATACTTGATAGTAATTTTACAAATACTCATTAGCCCTTAAACAACGTAAAAAGGCACTGACATAGAGGAGGACTCCTCTACTCACTTACCGCAGCCTTAAAAGGAAAGGGAAAAGAAGAGAAATCTCAATTAAAAAAATAGTAGTGTTCCATTTAGATTCAAAGGTTCAGCTGTATCAGAGAGTGTATGTGTGTATGTGGTACTGTACTGCAAAAAACAATAAGATAAACACCATGCTTTTATGAAAACTGTGGACCGAGTCAAATTTAAGCTAAACCGAAAATTTTAATTATTATCATATTTATTTACTTTTTATTTTATAAACTTACCTGTCCAAAAAAGGCCACTCTGAAGTATGTGCCAAGCAGTCTCTTGCCAGAATGCATTACTTCCATCACTTTAGTATACGCACGGTGGAGTGTATCATACAGGTGTGCCAGTTTCTGTTTGACAAATTCAAAAACAAATTGCAATAACAGTCACGCAGATGTTTTTATTTACAAACTGTTGTTGTGAATTGGCATTATATAAACAGAACAGAACAATTCACACTTTGTCTATAACTTGTGCTCAGTGTGCAGCTCACCTCAAAGTCTCTGCGCTGTTCATAAATGGGAATGATGAGCCTATAGACATCAGCAATGAGCTCATAACGCTCTGCCTTCCAGAGGCCATCAGCACACTCCTCCAAAAGCTCCATCAGCACCTCCTGAACACAAACAATTATCTTATCTTTAGAAAAGACACTAAGAAGTGGGAGTAATGTTACTGCCAAAAAATATTCCTGAAGCCAATGACTAATTTTAAAAAGACATTCTATAGGCTGACATTCAGAAAAGATCGAAACAAAGTCTGACCTCACTGAAGTGAACATCCTGCATCCCAACATCCTCCATCATGGCTGCTTCCTCGTCAATGTTCGGAGTGATGACACGGAAAGCTGAGCAGCCCTGCCTGAACATGCCTGGCATAAAAGAGGTACACAGAGAGACCATACACTGATCAAGCATAAAACTATCACCACTGACATGTCAACCCTGTCATAGAAATGATATTCCCGGTTGGCTATGGCCTCTTTATGTAGGATAATGTGCCCTGCCATGATGCAAAAAATAGTTCAGGAATGGTTTGAGGTTGGCAAGATCTCAGTCCAAGCGGATCTTGTGGGATGTGCTGGACAAACAAGTCTGATCCATGGAGACCCCACAACTTACAGGATTTTAGAGATTTAACATGCGGTTATGTGCTAGACTGTCTCAGGGGCATCTTTGCACAGCCTGCGCCTGGGGTCTTGCCTGGTGTAATAGGCCGAGCCTCTATGAATCTTGTGCTCAGAGCTTGTTCCCGTGCTGCCATGATTTGTTGTCAACACTCTGTGTTGTCTGTCAGTCCAGCTTTTAGGATTTGGTAGGATTTGTTAGTATCAGCCAGTGGTACATGCCATGCAGGGGCCTGCCCTTCCCTGATGGTTCCTCTCTCCTTCCTGCTCTTCTTTGTTGGGCTTCTGCTGCCCGAGGTATTCACTAAGCACACTATCAGTTGCAGATAAATTCCTGATGTACTCGTGGACCTTTGTTTGTTCTTTCATCCTGGTTGTGACACTCACTAATTATCAGCCACGTTTCTTCCGCTTTGTGTGTGTAGTAAGAGAGAGAGAGAGAGAGAGACGTGAAGGGTGAAGGCAACAGTAGTCCCAGTGGTAACTAATAGGGGTGCAACAATATTCGTATCGATATTGAACCTTTCGATACAGTGCTTTCGGTTAGGTACGCATATGTATCGAACAATACAAAATTTATTTTATCAACTTTCCTTCTGACGAAGCTGTCTGTGTTGAGCGATCAGTGGATCTGCGCTCGACAGTGCAGCCTAGGCGGAGTAGTCGAACGCAGATTCACTGAGCGCAGGGCAAGCTAGCGAGACAGAAGCTAAGCTCTCGTTGCAACATGGCAAATTGAACCTCCCCCACCCTCATTCAGATCTGGCGTTTGGAACTATTTTGGTTTTCATGTGACGTATGACCCTGAAGGTAAGCCAGTCATGGACAAAAGTAAAACAGTATGTTGGATGTGCCACGCAATGCTCAATTACATTGGTGGGAACTAGTGTGTTAGCGCACTTAGCTCGTTAACGTGTTGGCCGTCCAGCCCCACGCACGAGGCGATCCGCGGTAGCTTGTTAACGGAGATTTGCCGTGTTGTGGCGTTAACGTCATTTCAGATTAACGCTGACAGCACTAGTGGGAACACAACGAATATGACTGCACATTTACTCCGACATCATCCTCGTGCAAAGACAAGTGGAAGCAGACAAAAACAACAAGCACGCATGCTACAAACTTTACCGAGTCATTTAGACAGCCGTTAGCACATGATTCTCCTTATGGGGACCTGATATGTTTAATATGCTGCTGAGAATATAGCCCAGAAGAAGCGTATAGTATAGCTTTTATTTTGGAAAGAGACATTTCTCTGTAATAAACTCTCTTTTCCAAAGATGAGTGATTCCTCAATCAGATAATTTTTTTATTACTTTGTTGTTTCAGCAACATTAAATTTAAAAACTGTACTTTTGAGTTAAAATATATATTTATAATTTTAATAAATGACAAATTAAAAAAGCATGAACATTTTTTTTTGTATCGAAAAAATATCGAACCGTGACACCAAAGTATCGAACCGAACCGAACTGAACCGTGAATTTTGTGTATCGTTGCACCCCTAGTAACTAAAGCACTTCCCAGGAACAACATCTGAGTTCTCTGTCAAGAAGAGGGCAGCAAAAACACGGCACAGGACCATAAACTTGAAGGATAACGACGAAGGAATATGACTCACACTGTTTATTTTTTACAATTATTGATGATTTTAGAGTTGGAGGAATTTGCAGTGTATACAATTTACAATTTCAATTGCAGACATCCCCAGCTCTGATATGTGTAAGACGTATAGCTTTTTATCACGCTCCATAAATCTTTCATCTGAAAACAACAAGAGAGTTGACAGGCTTTATTGAGTTTATCAATCAATCTCTCCAGGATAATGTTCCTCTACTGCTGTAATGTTTATCAGAGATTCATTTTATGGCTTCTGTAAATGAGGATCATAAAAACATGTTGGAGTTCAAATAGTTAACTGCCAGGAGACCTTACATTATATCCTCAACTTACCTTTCCTCCAGAGATACTCAGCCACCAGAGCGGCAACATGCACGTAACACATAGCTGCCTGCAGGTGAAAAGCACAGACACAGTCACGAGTCAGAGGCTAACACAACAATGCCTTACTGCAGAAAAAAAGTCAAGGTATTCAATGTGACGTAAAATACCTCTGAAAGATCCCCATTTTTGTTGTGGATGCGAGCCATACTGTCCAACCAGGTTTTACGGAGCTCAGGGGTGCTGGTGTAGGACTTGGCTAAGCTGTATTGGAGATCTACCAGCATTTCCGGGTCATTTTCGTGCTCCTTCATTTGCTCTGTGGCCATCAACACTGTCCTGATGCGTTTTGTTAGGTCCTTCACATCTGAAGGAAACGCTGTGTGCTGCCCAAGCACAACAACAAAGTGAATGTTCAGGATTACATAAAGCAAGAAGTGGGTACTGAAATGTGTTTGCCCCAAAACAGGAGAAAGGCTGAAATGTATCTATTTAGCCACCTAGTAATAGATAGTATTGCTACATGTATGATCTGACCAAGTGTTAATCAACCAGTTTGGGACAGGAAATAACTAAAATTATTCAACAGTTCTCCTGGTAATTTATTTTGCCTACCAAACTCTCATTCCTCACCTTGATGGTCTTGTCACTGTTGGCATAGTTGTTGATGATGGAGAGAGACTGCTGGAAGCGCATACCCCCTATGCCGATGACGTCAGCAATCAGCTTACTGACAGCAATTACCACCTGGGTGAATATCAACAAGTAAAGAGAACCTTACATTTAAGACTTCCTGTATAATACAGAGATACATCATTAACATGGTTAGCAGATACATCATAGATATTGTATGTAGATAGAGACTAGAAAAGATAACTAAACATATAAAATGTCAAATTTAGACGGACACAAATGAAACGCTTACCTGCAGATGTGTTCGTACAAAGGATCTGCGACCTGTGTAGTCGAAATTGCTTTTCATAAGAAAGTAGAGAAGGTGGGCAGCATCGCTACGGATGGAGCTCAGCTTGGAGTTACAGCACTTGAGAATTTCGTAGCAGAGAGAGGCACACATGTCGGCCCGGCCATCAAAGAAGGTGCAAGGGAACTAGAGGACATGGAAATGCAGCTGTGGGGTCATTTCAAGTCGATTTGTGGATATCAAAAAATCACAACCACATGGGTTACAACCCAATTCAGCCCAACCCAAGTCAATAAACATGGGGCCAGATATTTCACCTTGTAAATGAAAGTCCTGAGTGAGGTGAAGACCTGTTTGAGAGCGGCCTCAGACTGAGGTATCTGCAGAAAACACAAGTGCACCTGGAAAACCTTCTTCATCAGGGGATTGTGACCGAGATCTGAATTCAGCTGGGTCTGAAAACAGGGAAGGTGAGCTTATTGGCTGAGCAAGAAAATAAAGGGTGTCATGTTGGCTGTCTCTGTTAATACCTTGAACCCCATGATGAAAGTGCTGAGTGTGTCCAGCACAGTGAGACAGACCTCTGTAGACACACTGGCCTCTAGAAGGCACTGGCTGCTCACATCTGCTTCCGTACAGGAGTACGCTGCACAGAAAGCACATACGCAACGTCTCCGATAGGGATAATGTTTTATTAGAGCCATAAAAAAAGTGCATACCGTTAATTGCTTTATTGATTTACATCTAAGACCAATAACGATTTGCCATGTGCTTGTATGGCAGACCTGTTGTTGATTTTGTCACCATTACCAACTCCTCGAAGGAGTCAGTAAAAGACAAATCCGTTGCCGCCAAGAGCTCGGGAAAGCATGGCTACATTAATTCAGATAAACACAATATTATTTAGGTACAAAAAATAAATAAAAACAATAATATCCTACTTTAACTACAGCAACATCTG